TATATGAGATGTGTATCCCCCCCATTATCAGAATGCAGAATTTTAATTTTTGATAATAAAAAATTGAGCGTTAACATAGGCATGAAAAAAATTGAATGCAGAGAATGCATCATCTATATATAGAGCGCAAAAATTAGACTCATGTGAAGCGATATAGTCATCAATAAAAGTAATTAAGTAATTGTAATGTGCATGAGATATAACAAGTGTTATTCCCCATAAATCACTATGAATCATTTCAAAAAGATGATTGATATTTGATTGATGAATTAGACATGGTAGAATTTTACTTTTACCAACTTTACAAGAAGGACAATCAAATTGAATAGTACTAAGAGATGGGAAATTTTTATTGCCAAGAACGCCAGATTTCATCAAGTCATGAAGTACATTGGAGTTTGCATGACCAAGACGCTTATGCCATGTTTAGAAATTAACAATTGTAGAATTACAAGAAATAGAAGACAAAAAAGAACATTGAGACAACAATGAATAAAGAGGAAAAAAGACATCCAAATTTAGGCCCCTTCGTGATCATTGTCCCTAAGTGTTGATCCTTCACAAGACAACTAGATTTTGAGAATTCAACTTTACAATTATTGTCAACTAATTGGCAAACTGAAATAAGGTTAGTGGTGAGATCAGGGGAAACATAAACATTGGTAAGAGATGAGGAGATATCACCAAATTGTTGTGATAGGTAAATTATTTCCATCAGCGGTGTGTATTTGCAAATTACCAAATTAATTGGTAACATTGGAAAGGGCAACAACATTGTTGGTTATATGATTGCATGCCCCAGAGTCAAAATACCAAGGAAAGTTGGGTAAAGAAGCATTACATGAAAGACCTAAAGTAGAAAATGCTGAAACAATCATTTATTGAACCATTTCAGGAGTTAAAGTAGGCACAAAAGTAGGTGTATTCAAATCCATAGAAACAAGAGTAGTAGAAGAACCAATAGAAGCAGTAAAGGTTGTTGCATTTCTCCGTGGTGGTCGTATTTGACATTCTTTGATGATGTGACTTTTTTTTTGCAATAATTACAAAAAATTTTAGGACAATGAGAAGAAAAATGGCCAAAGCCTTTGTAGCAAAAACATTGGACAATACTCATGTCTCGTCCTCGAGGTTTGCTTTGTATTGCATATGCCACAAGAAGAGAGGCAGATTTTTGTTGTTCCAGATTCATCTGAGTGAGGAGACGTTGTTATTCATGAAGCATTTCATTTAGGCAGTCATCTAAGGAAAGGATAGTAGCCTTGTTCATTAGGTTGGTACAAATTCCCTCAAAATCATATCTCGATTTCATAAGAAATTGATCTCGTTTGGTGGTGTCATAAACATTTTGGATTGCAATTTGTCCTTCAATTGACAAATATTTATAAAAGAAATGTCAATATATTGAGCCCAAAGATTCATGAAATGTGAATAAAATTTAGAAATTGAGAGACTATCCTGATGAAAAATGGCAATTTCATGTTCAAGCTAGAACCTGGGAGCAATGTTGTTCTGGTTATAATTTTTTTTTTAAATATTTCCACATCTTTGCTGTCGTGTTAAAGGGTTTGAGATTGAGGTCGATATTTGGCTCAACTAAGCCAATGATCTAGGTCATAATTAGTGCGTCTCTAACCTCCCATTTGGCATGTGCCTCTATGTGCGTTGATTTGTTAGGAGTAGAATTAGTTCCATCAACATGACCCCAAAGCTCCTTTCCTTTGACAAAAATCTAGAACTGGAATGCCCAGGTTGAGTAGTTCTTTCCATTAAGGTGAACAAAAAGGACATCATACTTGTCAGTAGACATTATGTCACGATGTGAACAATGTACATTGTGAATAGTACCATGCAAGAGATTGGAACTAAGAACATAGAGACTAGGAGCACAACAGAAAACAACTAGGTTTGAATCAGAACCAAGACTAATACCATGTAAAACTCAGAGAAATTGAGGTGAAAATTATGTGTTCTCCTCTGGATAATTCTCTATTAAATAATAAGATTCCAAACTGATTTCTAGCCTTGAAGTTTGTTAAAAAATGCTAACCTACAGTTGGGCTAATTAAGAATATAATTACATAATTACAACTATACAATCATGTAAGATATGTTGTTTTAAAAGGTCAATAAATCAACGAAAATAATATCAAATAATCTATCAATTCTATTGACAATGCTCCGTAGACACAACCTTTTCTCATGCCATTAAGTTTGCCTCATAGTCCCTCCGTAGTGCTAGAAGCAAAGCTTGCTCAAAGATAGATTACCCATCTCATTAACAAACTTGTCACAATTTTGTAGCATCGCATCCTTCTGGGTGGTAAGCTTAGACACCTTAGCATTAAGGGTGTATGCCCTTCTCCTTAAGGACCACCTCTCACTAACCAACCTCTCATTTTCATCATTAAGATGAACGCACATAACTGTTAATGCCACCCTTTCTAACTGGCTAACATCCAAGCCAGCCTGCAACATCCTAATTTTCCCCATCAACACATTTTCCTCCCCTTAAGCTAAACTGCCATCACTCAACTTTGTTGTATGCGACAAGACAATTGGTCCCTTCTCGTCATCATCAACCTTGGGTTGAGACTCTCTATTTCCACATCTTGTTTCCCCAACTAAACTACACAAACTATGAATTATATTATCAAGATATAAAGATATAAATACACACGACCACCATACCCTTGAAAGCACCCTCTACAAAAAGTTCAAAACATTCTTGACATGGTCACTCTACATAGACAAAGTCAAAACGAAAAATGATAAGGCATTCTACCTTATTTTATTTTCAATAAGAGCAACAAAGCAGAAGAGAAATACCTGAAATCTTCCCCGTCTTGAAGGCAACATAGTAGGCAAGACAAGAAGAAATCAAATACTGGAAGAAGTAGCAAAAGAGGAAGAATAACAATCATCCTTATTAATAGGAAAACAAATAACCATCACTTGCCTCCTACAAATCAATGGTTGACACTCATAACCAATTCCTAGTCAACGTCCCAAATTTTCTAGCATAATAAAACATTTGTTACCCATTAAAGTGTGAGGGAAACCATCAATAAGAAAACATTAATTACCCATAAACCACCAACATAGTAAATAGAAAAGGCAAGACAAGTAGTCCTAGCTCTTTCACCTTGAAGGACTTGGAGGTCGAGGGGGTTTTGTATTGCCCAACTCAAACAAATTGAAATGACCTTAAACCCATCTCAAACGAAACAACTTGATATGACCTCACCCATAATCACTCTAACGAAATATTTTAGATTGAATCTTACAAAATGTACCATACAATACTTTTAATTTGGGTCTTTTAAAAAAAGATTAAGAATAGTAAAAATAATTAATGTATGAGGTACTTTGAAAAAAAAAAGTTCTTTTAGTAAAAAAAAGACAAAAATATTAAAAAGAATACTAAAAATGAATAATTTTAACTTTTTTCATAGAAGTTAATATTTATATCAATTGTAGTAAAAAAAAATTAAAAACTAGAAAAAGAAAAAAAAAGTAAAAATAAAACATATTTATTCTATATCTTGGCAGTATTTGGATATGGATCTTTTTATAAGATTTATATAAGCTATGTTGGAGAAATTATATAAAGAAATTAAAAACATTTGATTAATAATCATAAAATATTTTCATAAACTCAACACTTCCATAAATACTTCTAATACAAGATAAATTTAAATAAGTTATTGGATAACTTTTTTTAAACAGGCCTAATATATACTTTGTTATGAGGGTTATCCATGACTATTCAAAAATTATGCATTTATATGAGTATTGTGATAATTGAAGCTTTGTATGTAAAAAGAAAAGGCAAGGCATGTGCTAAAGTATAAATAAAAACATTGAAAATAAGTAGCAATTTTTTTGTTACCTTTTTTTCAATGTTTGTATGTTTATATATAAGTAGCTTATTTATTTATTTATTTTTAAGAATAATACCCGATATCTAATTAGTTTCCAAGTTTGAAGGCTATTGCCAGAAAAATAGGACAACAAAAATGTCTAAATAATTTGTTTATAGCACGTAAGGGTCGGGGAAAAAGATAGTAATTTCCTCACACAAATAATAAAGAAAACGTGAATGGACTTATCAAATTATAATACTAATCTAATATGACCTACTTTTATTATTTCATAAAATGTAAAAGGCATGTTTTGAATAAACTCTACGTACACCCCTGTTTTGACATGACAACTACATGTCTTTTATAAATCATATATAGTCAATTCGTAGATTATATGTTTATTTTATAAATTGCTACAGTAACCAACTTATTAATAGTTGGGTTCTTTGGTTGTTATTATTTTCTGGTGGTGGACAATTTCTCTGAGGAGCCATAGGCATTTGGCATTGTATGCAGTTTTTACTACCTATCATATATCAATAGTGTTCAGATAATTGTAGGTGTAATTTTCTGGTTTCCTAACAGGCACATGCAAGGAGCAAACAGTGAATATTAAAACACAAGAAACCAAGCAACCCGCATAGCAATGATTCTGATGGAGTATGGGAACAGACACAATTGAGTAAAGGTTGGAAATTTCAATATGTACACTATGGAAGTCATCTCTACTTCCTAGATTAATTCTGTTAAATGTTAATTGAACTAACCAAATATAGTAATGGAAAATATGATATTCAGATATGGTATGAAGCCGAAAAGAACCACTCTCTCAAGCTTGAATTACAATGTGCTAAAACAGACAAAAGCACCATTAACATTAAGTCATTAATGAACATTTGCTATGGCACATGAGAAAATCATATTTATTGTATTCACTACTGACATCTGGCTAACGATATTTTTTAATCATTAGATTACATGTTCCATTGAACTAACCAAATATAGTAATTTACAAATAACAAGGAAATGGGAAACCATATAGCTTAAAACATATGCTAAAGGTTCTTTTCATCCTTTGAATTGAAGTGTATTCAAAATTTTACAAAAGCAGAAAATTAGAGACTAGAAGGTCACCTTTAATCTCAGTTCAGCAATTTGAGTCTCATCGCATACCTCTAATATCAGAGTCTGATCATAAGCAAATCAGACATTGTCCAAGTCAAGGAAAAAGGAATTACAAAGATAATGAACGATGGTGAGTTCTGTTAGCATTAAAATCTTTAAGATGTAAGAAAGTTATTCCTTGCAATATAGTTTTGTCCTATAGAATGGTGCGAAAAGATTCAATTTTGGCTTAAGCATATTTATAGTACTAAAAACTTATGAGGGATTATCAGATATTCAGATTCAATGGAAATTTCAATATGTACACTATGGAAGTCATCTCTACTTCCTAGATTAATTCTGTTAAATGTTAATTGAATTATGACAAAAATAATTGTTTAAGTTCATGTTGATTTCCTTTACAAATCACAATCACATGAATATAGCACACAAAGAATTATTGGATGTATGAATAAAATCGATCTTCACAATCCATGCATGGAAGCATGGCCAAAATGAATTCCAAAGTTTGTATAACTAATTGAATTCAAGATCGTTCAAGAAGTACTTCAGTCTCAATTGACATAAAAATGACTTTACCATATGCTTAAGAAATGAAGAAATAAATGAACCTCATGCTCTCCCCTGACACTGAAAATTACAAAAATAATTTCACATCATAAGCAACATAGCTCACCTATGCGTGGTAATTCAATTCCTTCATTTTGTGTATTTGCTTCAGGTTCTTCTTTAGTTATTGTTGCTTGTGACTTATCAAATGTTGTACACTTAAATGCATACTTATTAATAAAACCTTCCGGATCATTTCTGAAACAATTTTAAAGTACAAATGATGTGAAAAATACTTACAGCCAACTAATTCGAGAGCAAAGCAAACATCAAGTTGTAAAGGAACACAAATCCAACCAATGCCCCCAAAGTCTAACCAATACCAATATGAATCTGTGAAGTATGAATGAAAAAAACAAACCTTAAAATTGAAATTGAAGAGACGCAACCATTGAAGCTATGTGCGAGAGATAGGAGAAGCCATGACTATAGCTTGAAATAGCGCAAGAGTGAGACTGAGAGTGGGATGAGACAATGAGAAGAGAGAGTGAGATGAGACGGTGATAATAGTGATAACGCGAGAGTGAGAGTGAGAGTGGGATGAGACAGTGAGAAGCGAGAGTGAGATGAGACAGTGAGATCAGTGAGGCAAAGAAAAAATGAAAACTGTTATGCACGGAGAGTGTGAGGAATTTTGTAAACAAAAGACCTAAATAAAATTTAATATTAACATTAATTTTTAAAAATTATCACTATAAATAAAGTTTTACCGGTTAATTTTTATTGACCACTAAAAACTTTAGCTAATAATAATATGTAAGCAATTATCTTATTGTCACTAAATAATTATCGTTAATAATATTTTTTTATTGTAGTGAATACTCTAACTTGCAAACACTTTTTATTCATTTATTATTGTTCAAAATGGTAGATAAAAAGATAATATTGTATGATTATCAGGAGAGAACTAATCATATGTTGATTTTCAAATTAAACACTACTGTAGTTAAATTTGAGTAATGTCCACGTCTACGGTTAGTTGGTTGGTGGATGTATTTTTAAATGGAATTATAACCACGATCGATGGAAATATTAATCATATGATTAAATGAATTTCATTTGTGTTTAATATAAAATTTGCATCATATTTTTTTATTATACATATTTTTATCTTATTATTTTATTTTATTTTAATATATAATTATTCAAATAAAACGTATATTTGCAAGTAATCAGAAAAGGAAAACATTTGTACATACACAGATTAATTATTAGTTACTAATTAAAAGCTAGAAAGTGATAAATGCATGTCCAAGCCAACCAGAATCTAGATATATATCTTAGAAATTAGAATATATTGAATAAAATTGTATGTTTCTATCGATTACCATTTCTAAAGTAGTGGTTTTTGAACGCCAATTTAAAAGAGTTAGTGCTTAATGAATAAATGTTAAATTCCTCACAACCATATCCATATATTTTTGTTCTTTCTTTTGCATAAACTTTGTCATATTCAATATATAGGTGGTATCCTGTCTAGTAGAGTAGTTGAGAAGAAAACAGCAATTTATGAAAATTAAACAGAGAAACATAGGAAGTTAACAAAGTTCGACGATGTGTCTACGTCTTCAATAGTAGAGGGATTGTATCTTTTCTTATTCAATCAATAATTGGTTACAAACGTATCTATGAAATCCAGTACTACAAAGTTACAAAATTATTCAATCAACAATGTGACAAACACCAATTCATCCATTTCTCTTTAAAATATTTTCACCCCATATATATTTTTAACAAATTTAATTTTATGTATTTCAATAAATATATGAAATCAATATGAAGTCGAATATCAATTTCTGAACAGTTTTATATGTTACTATTATTTAAATAAATCAAATAAAAATTAAATTAAGTGACTGAATGATAATATATAAAAAATACTTACTGGAGAACATAATCATTAAGTTATATTATTATTATTATTATTATTATTATTATTATTATTGACAAAGTTAGATGTAATTTTCTTAGATACTGGGGTTATTCTTTAGTATGAATCATGTCATATATTGATACGATTTTATTTTTATTCTTAACCCAAAATATACTTTTAAATTAATGTCTTTCTCCCTTAATTAAAATTTTAATATTAAATATCAGCTCTAAATAAACTTTATTTTAACTAACATCAAATCAAATTCTAATTAGAATGGTTTTTGCCTTACATATCACGATTAAATTATAAAGTTGACACAAATAAAGTAATAAATTGAAAACAACAAATAAATTGCATGTAAATTACCGAATTGAGTTAATAATTATCGATTTTGACAAATCTCTTAGTTATTAGACAAAAAGAATAAGATCGATCAATAATATTATTTTTAATCCCCATGAAATTACATATTCAGAATTTAATAAAACTGAAATAATGTCGCACAAATAGATTAAAAAATATTGTTATATAAGCATTATCTTTTCAATGTATTCATTAACTTTTTTTTATTATAATCTATAAATTCAAATACTCGTAAATATGTCTTTTATATATATATATATATCTATATATATATATATGTGTGTGTGTGTGTGTATTATATTCAAACCTAGAAGTGATTTTTAAGTTAATATGTGTG